ACATACAGAAGTGTATCTTCTTATTAAAAGTGCGTAAGGAATTTTTTCAGTCCGCCATGTTCTTAGCAAGTGCCCTGAAGAGAGACAGTCACCACCTGAAAACATATTGAAAATTTAATATTCCAGGGGGGTGAATGCCTCTCTTTAGGGCACTTGCTAAGAACATGGCCGCCAGCTATTTCGGTAAAAATTTAAAAAAGCGCCTTACAGTTTTGTAATGGAAGTTACACTTCTGTATGTCTTTATTCTGTGGCTGAGCTCACGATGTCATGGATAATCAGCGACTGGATCATTTTTGTGCAAATTTCGGTCGTGACTCGAAGTTATTACCTGACCGCCTGCCATTAACGCAAGATAAAATGAATGACAATAAGCTACTAAATATGTTGGATTTTCTTTGGCAACATCGTGAATATGCTGGGTAAAGTCTTTCTATAAAAACATAAAAAATAAATCTTAAAAAATACTTCATTTGAAAACATTGCACTTCAACCTAACACATATGACGTTCTGGTACATTTATACATACATTATATGCAAATACATTATATGGGCCTTGCACGCTCCATTTTGATTTATTTATTTAGAAACTTTTATCGAGTTAATTATAAACAACATAAGCTAGAGTACATACAAATAAGATAGAGTGAAAGTAATCACAACAATTTTGAGTAACTTGATGAGGGACTAACAAACGGACTCGAAGTCCCAGCAAGGTTAACCCCTTCGTAAACATTATATAACAATACAAGTGTACAAATTGAAAGTTAAAGGAATAGAAAATAGAAAAAAGGTGAAACTAATGAACGAGGCTCCGCACGACGAAGACCACGTGCAGCATTAAACAGAACAAGGTTGCACGATTTACTCAACCATAAAGTAATTAGACAGCCCCCCTCCCCCCCTTAAATCCGCCACGTCAACCCCACACGGGATCCCAGCTGTGAAAAAGCTAAGTAGCAAGTTAGCCTAGCAAGTAAGCCTAGCAACAATTAATCTCCGGCCCTAATAATGGTCCTGAAATAAATGGCATACAATTTTTCCATGTTCAAAGCTGTTACCAAGTTTTGCGCTGTAGAATAAATAGTTCTATGTGGTGCTGGTATCGATGTTCGCACATGATAAATTACTGGTGTCCATTTAAAGACGTTCTTATTGCTACAAGAGTTAAAAGATAAACGCTGCAGTTCACACAAATCACACTTGATATCTCTTTCTAGAAACCAGTACTTACTGTGGCTGGGCTTGGAAAAACTAAAGACGACCAGTTGTCTCCAAAGAAGTATCGTAAATCCTAATAATAAATAACATTATATGACACCTCATTAAATTCTTGTCATTTAACTGGCTGATTATGATCACATGATAAGGAATAAAATTACCACTTTGCTGAGCCCATTTTTGTACTATACGTTTTGTTTCATTGCACAGTTCGGTTTTCATTAAATTCCATCCGTCAAAATCTTAATCGTATCCTAACCGTAGCTCATCTAACCAAATCTACGTAATGAGGCCGATGGAATTAAATTCAAATGCACAAATTCTGCGAAGCAAAATGGCGGGTGTAAAAATCACTAAAAATATTATTTTTTATGACAATGTCGAGTTAAATAAATGCCATTGTTACATTACAGTACTTCCTCACTCAAACATTTTTTGAGTCATCTTTTTTGAATTTCTATAGTACATGCGACTCGGGCATGTGTTTGTTTTGTAATTAATTCAATAAAAAATAATCATTGATTTTGCTGTATGGTGTTATGTAAAACTCGGATGTCGCCTCGTGGATGGAAGATTCCATCTTTCACCTCATGAAAATATTTTTTACCATTGCACCCATAAACATTCATTACTTGTATAATAATATGCATAACACTTAATAGAGTATGAGTGTTTCATGCACTATATAGGTTTGTTACATATGGATTTTTTACGAATGCAACTGTGATACAGACAGACGTTATTTTAAACCCAAGACAGTGGTATATTTCTCCTACCTCTTCAAATGCCTTGCTTCGCAAAAGCTCAGGGATATAAAGACACCAGATATGTTTGTGATCTTCTGTTAAATTAACAGAAATTTCGGTCAATTTCCAATCAGTAACAATCTCAATTTAAATACAATTCTGATTCCAATTCTAACCCTAATAATCGGAAACCTAACGCTATTTCAAATCTTACCATAATCCTTGTGACCTTGTGACGTCATGAGAAATTTTTAAAATTGTTTAAGTCAATATTCTGTCTAATACTGTAGTATCAACTTTACTGGACACAATATAGTAGAAATATTTACAAGATTTAAGTCCAAAGGGGATAGCGTAAACGGAACGAGACCCCTGCTAGGCGCGCCCCTAAACTAGTAGTATTAAACTAGTAATAGAACCCCCCCCCCAAAAAAAAACCAACCAAATATATATATATATATATATATATATATATATATATATATATATATATATATATATATATATATATATATATATATATATATATATATATATATATATATATATATATATATATATATATATATATATATATATATATAAATATAAATATATATATATATATATATATATATATATATATATATATATATATATATATATATATATATATATATATATATATATATATATATATATATACGATGCTCGCATGTATATGATGGATCGTGTACCAAAAATGACAGAGCCAATGGAAAACAAAGCAGGGCAAGACTTTACGTCGCCTTACAAAGTCGTTGTGCAGTGGAATCGTGTGATGTACTGTTGCTATATAGTGCAGTCGAATTGGCATATCGCAGTATGACTGTGAAATGTATAGTATATTAATATATATAATTGTCATGGTGACTTGTGACTTTCATAAACTTGCAAAATAAGACGTGTTAACAACTCTGCCTAAAAGGCATCAGTTTTTGCTTTCTATAGCTACAAGAAGTCAAGAACAAAAGGGAGACATACATTTTCTAATAAATAAAGAAATGTACAGAGAGGCTGATCCAGCCTTCTGATACTGGTACCAAGGGTAGGGCAATTTCTGTGCCAATACTTGCACTTGGAGATTCTCGGACTCGGGAAGAACGGCAAGTACTGTAAGGCCACCAGCGTATTTACAAGATTATATTTAAGAGGAACATTTTTTTAACAAGATCCTGCAGGTTACCGGATTTATTTAACTCGTGTACATTGAAATGGCATACAGAGATAGAGAGCTGCGATGTGAAGGATATACAACTACCTAAAAAATATAAGCAGAACGTCGACGTTTCAAGCGAACGTTTTCGTTGGCTTGTATACTGTTGGCTTATATACTGACTGTATATAATCGACCTGGTCGCATAGGAATACGTTGCGTGATATTCCGATAACACTAATTTTGTCAAGTTAAATTCTGGAACAAAATACAAGTGTAATGAATACGTTACCTTAATACACTAGTACTGCATTACTTTTTAATCTTTATTCATCATTGTACTTACTGTAACAAGATAGCTCCTCTTCAAGGGCTTTAAAAATAAAATAGAAATTTGCAATCGTCTTGCTCTATACGTATAAAAAATTAACAACAATTAGCAAATGATGCAACCTTACGGTAACGCAACAACCTTAAGGCTGCGGATTACCTTATACATAGCAATTCAATGTCTTGCTGCAACATCAAGTTAATTGGCGGAGAGGCGAGAAGAGGCGACGTGTGCGAAAGCACGCATGCGCAACGTTGATCTGACTTATAAATAAACATGACATTAACGGTTCCTATTGGATGTATTTAATTGGATATATAAGTAATGTTTATGCAAAGGCGGAGCCAACTTGACAAAAGCGAAAAGTGGGCGTATTTCGTTTCTTGATGTGTTTCCGGCGGTCCCTCCTTTCTCCCGAGGGACTGCTCGCGGTCTACAGTAGATGTTGCGCCTTTGGTTATACTTCTCCAATTTTTACTCGCAAAAGTTAGCATTTCCAACTTAGGTCGGGTACAGTGCTCAATATTTGGGTGGGGAATCCTTTAGAGAAGTCCGGGAGTGCCCTCCCACCCCCTGAATATTTTGAATTTTGAGATGTGATATTCATAGGGATCTCAATAAGGCCATGACATAAAAAAAATTACTTGTTTAGCGTCCACCCATTTTAATTTTTCTAGGTCGGGCGGGCGGGTTTTTTTGGGTTTTTTTTCGTAAAATGCAACACAAAATTCTGCTAAATGCAGGAAATCCAGTATATTACCACAGTCAAAACTCACTTTAATTCTTTCAAAATCCGTTCATGTTTTTTAATACCGTTCATGTTTTTAATAAAACAGAAAATTACTGTTTGGCGGTCACGCGCGAACACTTTAGGTGCGAACAGGCATATTCTGGGAAGAAAACTTTGTGTAAACGTATTGCATAGCTCCCAGAAGAATAAAATCACCATTTTTTCAAGTAAAACGATCTTTTTATAGAGAGTTTTTGCACTAAACTCGGACAGATTTAAAAAAAAAAAAATTAAAAAATTGGAGGTCGGGGACTTTTATCAGGTCGGGCGGGGACGCTAAACAAGTAATTTTTTGTGTGGCCTAATGTAGTGTACACCATAATCGTGAAAACAGAGATCAAGTCTGATTTAGATTTTAAAATATAATGCATACTGTACCCATAACGTTTTATCAGTTGCCACAACAAGAAGCTTTAAATTGATCTATAACAATAATATAATATTACATGTACATAACTAATGCAGTATTAAAACTTTTTAATGATCCATACTTTTAACTGAAATACAGTATAGTTTGAATTGGTGGATTTCAAGAAATCCCCTGATAAATGTACTTTTAATTAACTCAATGGCAAATGGAACGCAAATATTGTAAGGAGATTCCGATGAGATTTCTTTTGTTTAACCCAGAGAGTGAAAGCACTCTCCCTTGATGAGTAAAAGCATGTGGTATTAGACACTGAGGAAATAACAAAGTAGGGCCATTAGGCCACATTATGGGTTAATTAACTTGCATGTACACTGAAATGCAGCCTCAGCTAGGGCTGATAACCTATAGTGTAAAAGGAGTGTGTGCAAATGCTAGGCTACCATAAATACAGGTAACAAAATACTGTATATGCTTTATCTTTGTTTCTGATGAGGGCTATGAAATCTTTTTTTCCACCACTTACTTAGTGACCACTCCTTAATTGTAAGAAAATTATATTATGCTAAGATTTGTTAGTTTAGCCCATTCATTATATTAAAGCTGCAGAGCTAGCTTCCCCATTGATGAGTAAAATCGTCCGGCGTTAGACAAGTAAAAAAAAACAAGTAGGGCACATTGCGGCTCAATGGGTTTAAAATGTTCTTACAGTATTTAGGCTTGAGTGACCTTACATCATTTTTGAGCCTTTACCTAACCTTAACCCTTTGAAATTGCCTAAGTCTGTTAAAATTCAGAACATATGAGCTAACTGACATCTCAGGTACTGTAGGACGTACATCAAGGGTGGAAGTAGGATTACCTTTAGTATATTATCTTTGGTGCAGCACTGAGATGATCATAGAGCAATTTTCGAGGTGGTTAATCTTCATTTTCAAAAGGGCGGCCACCAACATGATTTGAAGGGTTTAAATTTTCTTGATACAAGATTGCTTAACCAAGAATTTAAATCCTACAGTACATGCCAGTGCAAGATAATATGTAATAAACTGCAATCTCCTGTTTTACAATTATGAGGTAATAGGGGTCCCTATGTTTTGTCCTGGACCCTGACAGTGGATCCCAATGTTTAACTGCTATTTGTCCGACAAAATATTACACAGTGTGCATAAAACATCCTCACTGACTAATTATAGACAGTAAACTTACAGGCTGACCCTTGACACAACTAACCAACCCAACCATAACAGATTTAAGTACCAGTGTGCTATCACTTGGCGGCCACCATTATATGTGTCTTGAAGGGGAGGGGTGGTAAAACATTTCCAAAAATCCTTTAAGACAGTTCAATACATGCCGCTCATAGCTTTACTTATTTGGCCAATTCTCACTTTAATATAGAATTGACAATTTTGGCTTCATTTCATGCAGTTCCATGGCACCCCCTAACAGCTTTTGCATCCCTAAAATGCCTTGCAAGGCCGGGGGCATGCAACATCAGCACTGTTTAATGTTTATACTGCCCCTCTTGCAGTATAACTTAACAGCTATTTACACCCGGGGAAATGAAAGCATTAGTGAAGTCTAAAGTTCATCAATGATCGCGGGCGTGGGTGACCAACGGTGGGTGGTCATCCTCACTGATCTCAAAAATATGGCAGACTGTCATAAATAGCGAACTGATTGGTCAAATTTAAAATTTGCATTATAACGACTGCATGACGACAGCGAAATAGCAACAGTATAAACTGTATTAATTTAAATAATAATTATAAAATACCCACCAACTTGTCACTACGATCATGATCAGTTGTAGTTCTTGTATGAAGTTCAGCACACAAATCTGCCATTTCCGAATTTCTAATAGATAATATCAGGAAATATCAGAAAGAACATATATATGTATGCATGACAGCACCTGTTTACTTTTTATGGCTAATTCTAAAAATTTGATGTTTCCTCGCAGTACTTCATGTATGTCTATTATTATGGCAGAGGGCTCACTACTGATCTCATAAAAACTGGATACATCTAATGAAAAACGAAACTGATCAGAACAGACTAGATAGACCCTATCTTGTCGGAAAACTGACAAATCGGAAATTTTCTTCATGCACGTAAACTTCTAGTCATGATCTTTCCTAGCCAATTGCAGAGCTATCAGTAATTTGATTAAAGTTACAAATACAAATACAAATATAAACACAAATACAAAAAAAACCGTCAGAACACTATCAATGAATATGTTTGCAGCAGTTAAGGGACCATTCATTATTTATGACTGGGGGTGGGCTGGCAAAATTCAATTAACAACTAAACAAAATGTCCTGCCCCACCCCCTGCATCACAAAAAATTCAATGACCCCCCTTCACACGAATTCTAAAAAATAGCAACCCCCCCCCCCCCACCACCACCTCCACCACCACCGACAATATAATAAATGTACAATACTGTATAGAAATGAGCTCCTTAAACTTGTTGTAAAAGGAATCAGATCTTTCATTTACTTGTGCCTTCAACAATTAATATGCATGCCTATTTAACCAATTAAGCTGCAGAGTTTCCTGCTGACGAGTAAAATCGTCTGGCGTTAAACAAGTAAAAAAAATAAGTAGGGCGCACTGGGACACAATGAGTTAACAAGAGACATTGTCAGCTTTTTGGTTAACCCATTAAGCTGCAAAGCGTCAAAGAGGCTAAGCCTAAAGTCATACCATTTTTTGCTACTAAAATTGTAGTAAAAATTTGCTCAAAAAGGAAAAAGTTGCTTGAAGTTGCTTCAGCCGAAAATATTGCTCCAAACGCAAAAAGTTGCCGACCAGAATGGAGACATGCTTAGCACAGCTTCCCCATTGACGAGTAAAATCGGGTTAGGAGTAGGGTCAGGAGTAGGGTTAGGGTTACAGTGCCATACGTAGCTCTTTTTGATTGGGGAGCTGAAAGTGCGAGGGCCAAAGGCCCAAGGAAATTTTAAAATTTAGAGTCTCTGAAATGCCATTTCCTGAACTTTGGGGAAGATTTGACAGAATTCTGATGGTCAGAAAACATTTTAGTATGTCGAAATTTACAATTTAGTAGCACTGAGAATGGGCGAAGGCGTATTTAACTATATATTGAATAAGTTGAAGAAAAGTATCAGAAATATCTTAATTCTTTGCAGTTTGTCATGGATAATGTGGTCGCTTAAAATTAATCAATTGTCAGTATTTTAAAGGTATATTATTTAAATGATAAAGGTCTGCACGATTTTGGAAAGAGAATGATCATTAACAAATTATTGGAAGGCTGCGGCCGCCCCATCAGCGTTCCCGGTTGCTACGGCCTTGGGTTAGGAGTAGGGTTAGGGTACTACGTCAATGAACTACCACAAAAACGCTAAACAGTGACTCGGACATTTGATTTGGGCTCGGGTTTGAATCGGACTTGACACAGTAAACCGACAAACTCCTTACTAAATTAAACCATGTATAAAATACCTAGTATAAACTAGTGTCATAGTATATGCCAAACATTTCCTGGACGTAATGTTGCTACATCAATTACTCGTTAATTATCTTTTTTATTAAAATGTACATAATTGAAATATGACAAAAATTTATGGCAAGTTTATGGCAAAAGTTATAAGGTAGATGTTCGATTATTTTTCGTATCAGCTATGCGCGTTGCATTTTGGGTATTTGTGCATTGCATTTTGGGTCTATCTGTTGATTAAAATTGAGAATTTTGCTAGCTATACATGAATTTTATTTGCTGCCTTGCTCGCTCCTTGTAGTAGCAATAATTGTTGCATGTCAAATTTTTCTCCACTATAATACCACTATAATAAATAACTGGAACCCCCCTTCTGAACCAATATTTTTAGGTGCCCCCCCATTTTCGGTCAAAAATACTTCATGACCCACCCCCTTTTTTGCCAGCCCACCCCCAGTCATAAATAATGAATGGTCCCTAATTAATGACAATCGAAGAAAAGACGGAGAATCCAGGTTTCGATTCGAGCATTTGAGACAAATAGATTTCGAGGTTGCAGTAATTTCAGGATCAAAGCTTCAGTCCAAAGCAATATTGAAATGTTATACTTAGCCGCTTTGAATGCACTGTTTAATTTACATAAACTCATAGATTGAGATAGATCATAGGCGTATGGGAGGGAAAAAAATTAGGAAGGCAGGAAAAAGAAATTTGTTCAACTTTTCCCAAGTTGTTGTCTATGGGTGGGGGGGGATTTCCAAGAGCTTAAACATTTTCCCAACAGTACATATTTGATATTTCTTGCATTCAAATTTATTTCCCTCATTTTTTTCTTCCCAAATGGCCAAATTACGTTTATAATTTGCCAAACTTGCCTCCCTCCCCCCCCCCTCCCCCCTCCCCTCCACACTCGTACACTTATGACAAAGTAAGTTAGTTTTAACGAAGTAACTTTTTCAAGTAGGGACAATTTGAAAAATTCATGCTTTGCACTTGACATCATGGCGGCCATGGCACAGATTAAATTAACAAGAGTTCGAATTGAATTACTTCCGGCCCGATTTGAAGTCACAAGCCTTATTCGAACTCAAGACTCTTTTCTCCCTTCTCAGACTCTTTTGTCCAGTTAGCGAATCGAGGCGTGTAATATACCATTCCATTCGTCTCATTAAGGTTACAGAACACCTTTGAGTGCATGTTACTTTTGCCTAAAATTTTTTTATTGGTTTTCATGAAAGCATTAGACTAGTTCTACCATGGATAATAAAATAAATGGATATGAAACTAGCTGACGTGACCTAATGTTTTTACTGGGATTGATGGCGTGGCTGGGTGCCTCAACCTAGTTGAAAACCAAATTCTCAAAAACGGCATGTTTAGCAATAATACAGCTAAACATTTTAGTCAAAGAGCAAATAAATGTAACCACGCCATTCTACGATGAAAACTCTAAGTATTCCCAGTCAATTTTAGCAAATATTTCAAGCACTAAACAGTGAAAAATACATCGCAAATTTCGCAAAAATTTGTGACGCCAATTTCGTAGCTACAAATGTAAAAAAAATACAAAACAAAGACGAAAAACATTTACCTTGAATACTTTGTCGTGGCTTAGGCATGTTTTTAAAACAATTAGACCAGTTTACGCTTCAAGATCACCCTTTTAAAGTGGAAAATATAGCAAAACAACAAAAATGCCGAGAACTTTGGTAACATTCGCAATACGCGTGACGTCACGTTTTTCAACAAGGATGCAGTTAATGACGTCAGAAGTTTCCAATCCATTTATTTTATTATCCATGGTTCTACTATCTGACCAAGTTTGGACGAAAAATGTTGAAAACTCGCAGAGTTATTTAATAAAATACATTTCGCTTGCAATAAGAAAAACATTGAAAATATAATATTCAAATTCAATTTTTTCCCGAAGAATTTTACGGCAATTACTGATTTTTAAACGAGTTGTGCTCCTGCGGGTTTTAACAAATTTTTCTCAAATTATCACAGGACATAGCTAAAGACGTCAGTTTCAAAATTGTGTCCGGCTTCATTCTAATTTTGGATATTTTAATAATAAGGAGCAATTCACACAAACGATTCAGAGATATATTGCAGTCGTCAAAGAAATCGCCATATCAGCGGAATGACGAAATAAACAAAAATTTCCGAACACAATTTTTTATAACAACTTTTTTACTGTATAAAAATGATATTTTCATAAATATATCTTATATTACATTATTTTATTGTTTGTCAATTTTACAACTTTATCATATTTTGCATGCACTGGCTAACATTTGGTGAAAATTTGATGAAAATCGGATTGATTTTGAGCGCGCAGTAGCGATTTTCCACAAAACGCCAAAAAGGGTGTCCTGTAACCTTAAGAAGAAGAATAAAGAAAAAGAAAAATTCCTTATAATAGTAATCATGCATTGCACCTTTGTAGACGTCATTGATTTAGTATAAATATTAACACCATTTTTGTGTTAGGGAATACACTGATAACTTGTGATAGTTGCACACCCAATATAAGTGTCATATTCACTGTAATTTTGGTGTTTTCATAACATAAAAATGACTAAATCAGTCAGTGGCGGATTACCAGTTACGGGGCCTGTATAGGTTAAGTAAAATTCGCAGGCCTTGAGGGTGATATTCTCACGCAAGTTAAGCTTATTTAGGCAGTGATAAAGAACGTGTACATGCAACAGGGCTAATAAATTTCTCCAGCTTTGGAATCCACTTAAGCTTAGCCTCGTTACGGCGAAGGTCAACAATCATGCATGAAAACCAAGGAACTTATTGTTTTTGGATTAGCCGATATATCAATTATATCTCATTGCTTAATTAACGACAAAAATAAATAATAATTCTAATGAAAAGTGCATTATCTAAAAATCATGACAATGGGCCTCTTGAAATCCCGGACCTGTAGGCTTTAGCCTATTCAGCCTACTGGGTAATCCGCCACTGAAATTAGTGTCTAGTGTCTACATGTGGAGCTGCAATCGGATTGCCGACCGTGCATTTAATTGGTATTGACATTAAATCAAACAGTGGAGAAAACCCAGTATATATTTCCTTCTCACTTTAGATAATATTCTATACAAAGTAACTATTACTGTCTATTTTAGGCCACTTTTAAAGCGCACTTCTCGAGTTTGCTTTGAATATTCCAATTACGTTTCCAAATTTGGAATATTGCGCGTGGTAGTTGCAACCAACTTCGCAAGTTGCATACTGTCTATTAAAAATGTACCGAAGTACTGGAAACAAACTTGCAATTTTTCAGCGCAGTTTTGCACTAATATACTGTAGCTATGCAACGAATTAAACGTATATTTCTTAACAACTTTAACAAACAATTCGTCAAATATATGCTGGCTCTATATAGTATAACATTGCGAGTTTATGTTCAGTACTTCGAAAGCATCAGTTCAGCACTTAGGTACTTTCGTATAAAGCAACGTGCGAAGTTGCCTTCGCAATTTCCACGCCCGATTATCCAAAATCAGAAATGTAATTGGGAATATTCACAACAGTCTTGCGAATCGCGCATATAATTCAATGCGCATTTAATCGCGCATTGAAATCGATAATAATTCAATGTAATCCTGCATGCATATTATAATTCAGTTCGACCTTACGGCTTCTGAGCATGAGAACGTTTAGACGACTGTCTGTGTACGACCTCCACAACAGCGTACATTGCCATTCCTATGACGAGTACTGCAATGAGGATGTAGATCTTAACCCTACAAAACAATTACAATAATTATAATTATAATTTATTTAAAAGATTAGCTGAATTCATATTAGAAGACGGATTTCCGTCTGAGACGGGAAACTCGTTAGCCTGCATGCTTGCCGCCTGAAATTTCCAACGAGGGAATAAGGCTAGAAACTCGTCTGAGACGAAAAACTCGTCCAAATATAAATTCGGTTAACGATGGGTTTCCTGTCTCAACTTTTCCGTCCAACTTTCTCGTCTGAACGACGGGAAAGTTAGACGAGTTTCTCGTCTTAGACGGGAAACTCGTCTTAAATTTATATCAGACGAATAAATCAAGACGCGTTTCCGCTCGTAACGTTGAAAAGAGTCTGGGATGGAGGGTCTCCTATTTTTTCGGGTTTATCAGTCCGATGGTTTTCGTTTCATATTCATACCAGACGGAAATCCGTCACACGAATTTCCCGTCTTAGACGGAAATCTAATATGAATCCAAACATACGATAGAGTTTTACATAATATTCAACCGAGTGAAGTCATATCATTGAATATGAAAAATCATGCTCAACATTATGACGCAATACTGTGGAAATACGAATACAAAATGTGAAAACTCGACGAAAAGAATATGGCGCCACCTTCGGCCGTGCACTTATGAAAGAAAAAAGGAAAGATTTCTGAACTTCGACGAGTTGAAGCCACATTATTTTATTTCTGAACTTCGACGAGTTGAAGCCACAAGTGCCGATATCTTTTCCATCTCTTAAATGAACAATAAAACAATTATTGCATGAATTCAGTTTTCGCAAGATAGCTACAGTATCAGAATTATCAAGCCGGGGCCCTCACTCAGTTTGTGTTATCAACCTCAGCCCCCGGTATTTAGCCTCAGCAACAGTTCATGGGCAGAAGAGTCAAGAGAATTGCATTTGTCGCACTTAGGAAATACTGTCTTCAAAATTAATTCTTAAAGGCACAGTTCAGCCTTTTGAATGATTGTTTTTAAGGCGCATTTCAGTCCTTTTAATTGAAAAAACTAACTAGGAAAATCAAGTAAGCATAATTCAAAATCAGCAAACTTAATGTTTTTAACATTTTAAACCATTGTTATTGTTAAAAACATCGAGTTTACTGATCTTGAATTATGTATAATTGATTTTCCTAGTTAGTTTTTTCAATTAAAATTAAAGGCTGAAATGAGCCTTAAAAACCATCATTCAAAAGGCTGAACTGTGCCTTTAAACATGTACAAATCGTAAACATCATTAAACATGAACATTTTGTGAGGCAATCACTCTATATCAATTCTGGTAATACGTTCCGAGTACGATAAATTCTAATTAAAAATATTTGAATGAATAGCTATTCTGCATGTATAAGCGATCGTGCGTAAATTTGTATCAGCATCATTTTCAGCAAATCACAATTGCAATGTCGCGTATACATGCATTTCTTCAAGAGGGCCATGCAATATCTTCTCTATTGATCTATTTTGTCTATTTACAGTATATCCGGTTACCTGACACAGAGAACACTGCTTAGAGCGAAGCTGATGACAAAGCCAAATGATTCCCACAGACGATAGTTAGAGAAAGCCGCTTCTTGATTGTCATGAAACAGGACACCATAAAATGCTAGAAATAATGAAAAAGCGTGCAATTACTATGTAACGATAAAAAAGTTATACAGCAACAGATGAAGTTTCATTTTCAGTCCAAAACAGTATGAAGCTACTTTTAGTTAAAATTACAAGAGTCTTCGCAAGGCAATTAACTATCTAACATTACAATTGAATGATATTCGGTCCACATTGGGCATTGATTGCAGGTTAATAATTTTCCCCTAGTTTTGCCTATGTTCATTTGTTTATCACCTTTAATTTGTGAATTATTGTAAGTACTACCGGCTTTTACCATGCAATTCAAGTACTAACATAGTCAAACCTAAGGTCTTGGAGGCGGAATTTTGCGCGCGGAGCGGAATTTTTCTTTGTCTTGTAATTTCTCGGGTGGAACTAATTAGAAAAGACAAAGAAAAATTCCGCCTAGTGGAAAACGGCCTTAAGGCCGTTTTCCACTAGGCGGAACTTTGCGCGCGGAGCGGAATTTCTCTTTGTCTTTTCTAATTAGTTCCATCCGAGTAATCACAAGACAAAGAAAAAATTCGCTTCGCGCGGAAAATTCCACCTAGTGGAAAACGGCCTTAAAATGCTGGCCATTTAAATGGTTGATTATAATTACGTGATATACGTAGAGTAAAAATTACCATTTTGCCGAGCGTGCAAAGGAACGCATCCATTACACGCAAAGCTGTGCATATCTATACTATACGTTTTGTTCCATTTTAATGAGGCCGATGGAATTAAATTCAAACTCATAATTTGTGCAAAGGAAAATGGCGGGTGAAAATCACTAAAATATTTTGTTTTGTTCAATTGATAACATTTATAGAATGTAAAATTAAACTCGCGGAATGGAAAATTCCATCTTTCACCTCATGAACATGTTTTTACCATTGCACTTATAAACATTCATTGTTTGTATACAATTATTATAAGTAAACGCATGCTTTGAGGGAAATTAGTGATTAAATGTCCCCGCAAACCGAGGGAGGTTTAGTAACCAAAATTTTTCGGAACATCAAACAAATTTTACCAAACATCGAAAAATTGACATAATTTCCCACAAAATTGACAGAATTTGTCCCATTTATTTTTATAATAACCAAATATTGCCCGACTGTTAAGCGAATATTGCCCAACTGGATTTGTTTGCCCAACAAACTGGGGTTATTATTAAGAGAGATTTTCTTGCTTTGACTACTTTTTCCCGACTTTTGCTGAACATTTGCCCGACTTTTCGACTTTGTAATCTTTGGGGGGGGGCGCGGCAGCTGCCCCCCCCCTGCCCCCCGTCCCGTACGCCTATGCTCACGGCGGACGATATTTTATCGTCTCAGCGTTTTGAATGGCTTCTTACCATTAATTTGTGTCTGCCAGACAGCGTCAGTATATCCCCAGAGTGCAGCCATAAGGAATGCAACTGAAATCATATCACGGTCAGGTTTCCAGGTAAGCAGAACAACATAAACAACAAGATGTATGACTGCACCAGAAATAAAAACTGGTATCCGTCCAACATATTTTGTTAACTTTCCAAGCAGGTAGGAGAACAGTGAGTCAGCAACACCAAAACATATCATGACGTACCCAACTTTGTCTATGCCGAAAATGCACGTGACAAATGACTAAACGAAACAAATTATACATTAGATACACGCCCTCTCAAACTTACTGACAGTATTACATTATGGCGAATTTTTTATATTTTAAATTTCCCCCCAAAATCCATTTTTGGGTGAAAACCTTTCTACGAGCATAATAATGAACTACTTTATGAACTGTCAATCGGTATAATAGCATGGATTGTCGTGGAATGTGAAAAAAAAACACGCTGCATGCATTCGTGAGTTCTTTCAAGACCTCGATTCAATAAGCTGGTCATATTCAGCAAATTTTCTCCCTCTACAGCAGGCTTGTATTTCTAGCGAACTTTCGGTGAAAAATGGAAAGGTTTGCATTTTACACAGAGCAATTATATATTATAATATTTGTGTAATATGTCCGTTGACAATACGAGCACGCACGAGTAGGGAAACTGAATTCCTAAATTTGGCCAACGTGTAGTCTTTGAAAAACTCACTCAATGCATGTATGTACTTTTCCCAAATTGTACTCGAATCCATGATGGACTATTATTATAATTACCTATATTAATACACCCTTTCCATAAAGGCATAATTACATCACAAATCTCTCCTCAGCCCGGAAGCTTCGTTCTCGTGAATCATGAACGAATAACCTTTTGTCTTGACTCATGCGAGCGGGGTAGCCAGGCCAAGGAAGAATTCATTATGTAATTATCGTAAGGATATATTGCATAAGGCAACTCACAATATATCCTACCTTAGTAAAATCTGCAAAAACAAAGCCCTGTTCCAGGCCACTGTACATTGTAAGTGGAATGATGAGAAGCATTCGAGTATCTTTGACATGACGTAATGTGGCAAAGAACAGACGAAACATGGGTGGCCTTTCCTTCTTTTCTTCATCATGTAGTTTATCAAGTAAGAAGAAAACAACAGCAATTGATAGAACACCACATACGAGGTATATACTCACTAACATTACAACAGTGGAATGTTCAGGTACTATCAGTACGGAGGAATTCTTTTGTGACAAGTCTGGAAAAAGAGAAGCACTAAAATTAACACCGTTCAGCTTCAATACTTCTCGTTATATAGTAACTCAAGGATGGGATATTTGAGGTAGGTCCAATCAAAGTCCAACAAGAATGGTCCAGAAACTGGTTCAGTGAAGAAGAAAGGACTTTTGGCACAATAACACAATCATTCAATGCATGGCTTATCTGTCGAATAGCTCTACTGTACAGATGGCATATTAATAAGCAAAATTTCAAAAGTTTTGTACAGGATGAGGTCGTCTGTATATAAAATAGTTGGCTCATTATAGATGCCTTGAAATTTAGCAAATTTCCCAGACCATATGTCAGTACAGAATTTCCCTCGATTGGGTATGGTCTACTGATTGGATATGGTCCAATGCTCAATAGCAGATGCTTACAGGTGGCTACAGATGGTTTTAAATGGTTTTACTTTTAAAAGGTAAAAAATAATGGACCTAACCGAAGAGTTGTATTAAGAGAAGCGAGGTTTGTTGGGCAGCATACATATATGTTTGGAGATCCGTTGCAGGTCGTCTGAAGGTTTAAGGTTTTGCTGATGGAAAAAATAAGTAAGGAAATTAAGTCCTATTGGAAAGCAAGGGCCGGTTAGTAACTTGAACTAATCTCCTACAAACAAATTTTTCTTTCTTTAATTAATTTGTCTTTCAAGCAATGGACTATTTGCATTATAGACTAAATTTTGATCTAAACAAAAATTTCATCACAGCTTGAAAGAGCATCACAAAATTAGTAATATTCCAAAGTTTCGTTGCGAAATCCAAACTTTTAGATGCTTCCTACGTCCCTGTCACGTACTGTACATTACCACAGGCACAGTACACTGAAATTTCTGATATAGTGTACTTGTATTTTAGAACAGTACAATTATAACGTTTACGTTTATTATTATGCATTTTATTATTATGCATGCAGTTGCGGAACTTAATTGTTCGAACTTTTTTTATAGGCTTGGCTCTAGGTTTGGCTCATGAGAAGTTCGCCATCTAAACCGGGTCTAAAACAATCATCACTCATGCATGGATTTTGGCACATGGGAAACCTTTGTTACTTGTTGAGTGACTAAAAATTAGGTTCACGCGGGACAGTGCTATACTGTATACATGTCCCAGTCATCCCAGTTTTTGTGATGGCAGATTAAATTTAATCCTGCTGGAACACATTCCGGAAGTCTGGGCTGTAATATTCGATACTATAGTTCAGATCTGAAGGTGTTTTCGGGGGTTGTTCAGGGGAGCGTCTTTGGCGTCTTTAAACACGCACACTTAATAATTATAATAATTATATAATTAATATTTATTTCGTCGTTTGATTTAAATGTTTGCTGTACGCCTTTTTAACGTTGTTGTGGCAATTATCAAGCCTGCTCGAAAATGAATTCTTGCAGTACGTAATTCAGCTTGGTAGCCTGCGTACAGCTATGGCTGCTTGGAATGTTCGGAGTAGTTGCATTGAAAAGTCGTAACTACATGTTACCTCCGAGCCTTGAGTTAGCAATTGAGTCCTGAATTTTGTAGCATGTGAATGCCAACATGCAACGGTAAAACATTTCGTGCCCGAAATTACATAATTTTTGTTAGGTTTCTACTTTTGGTGGCTTTCAAATAAGCCGTATGAACAATAATGCGTCTTCGCCATACAAGGCCACCAACATTAACATAAAACAGCAGTGTCAACAGCAGCAAGACGCATTAATCAGTTGTTCTCACGCATCTAAATGTGTATAACCTGAAGAATACAATCTTTGCATCCTCGACAATTTCTATACATCAATATGGCTGTATCAGTTTCTGCTTCCTCAATTTTTAGAATACGTGGAAGCATGTGTGCGGCAAGCCAGAAATTGTGTTAATTTAATAAATTAAGCAGTTGCAAATAAACAAGGCTAACGTATACAGATTGCGAGTACTTTTTCCAATAGAATTCATGCACTCGTCTACCATATAACCCCGTAATCACAGCCCCAGTATATATTGCTCCAGATAAACCAGAATGATAGTTGATGAAAGTTGGCGGTCACGAATTGTTACAGGGGACAATTCATGTTTTAGATTAACAAAATAGAGGTTTCATGAGTGTTTCATATACGTTTTAACGGAAAGCATGCGTTGAGAGCAGCAAACCAAGGTTGAGTCGGGTGCCAACTCGCATGCACTCTTGTCCTTCTTTGACGCGGGCTTAACCGGTGTTGCATTCTGTGGCTTGTATTTCATTCCCTCAATTGCGCTTGATAAAAGCGACATTATATTTATTAAGTATATTTACTTAAACACTGATACATGGTGTAAAATACAATTCCATGTATAAACATCAAATAATCTGATAAATGTTATCTATGACGGTACAAACCTGTAGTTTTCAAACAAAAATTACAAAAGATTGACAGCCTCTTCCCTTGAGAAACCGAAAGTCCCAAAACAGAACAACAACAAACTGTTCAGTGTTGCCTCGTATCATGAACATAGTGAAATATGATACCACTGAGGCCAAGAACGTTGACAGCAGTAATCAATGCGTGCACTGCCACGTTTAATTGGAGTATTGCTGCCCCATGGTGAAACAATCCTGCGTGCGACCCTGTTTCCTATTAATTTAGTGCATGGTCATGCAACTTCGACACTGTGTCTATAATTAAAGGCGATTTTTTGTACTTATCTATTATAGATATAGATTTGACACTCGACAAGGTGTTGATTAAAGTTTAGAAAATTATACAATAGTTTTCAATTTGAAAAAAAAAACATTTTGCGAGATCTTTTGTGCTTCATAAGCGATTAATAGTGAAGCGTACATGATAGTGAATTTGATCCAGCTATTAATAAAAAGTTAGTTGAGTTGCTTTAGCTCACACGTACAAAAACTTTGAATAATTTTGCCATGCTAAAGTTGGCTCGAAATTTCTAATTTGCAATTTAGATCCGTACGTATCTTAAAAAGCATTTTACTTATGTAAACACCATTAATTAAAGTCTTCACAAAAGTTATGGAACTGCCGTTGAGCCAGAATCTTTCAAGTTACGTAAATGTGATTGTTCATGATAGCTCAACAGATTTTTTTAAAATTGTCAATACAGTTGGGTATACCAAGAGAAATCGCAGTATGAAATAAGATTTGGGGGTCACTGATGCCGTTCCGCTATTTTGAAACATCACTGTTGCCATAGCAACGGTAGTTGTGTAACTTTTGTGAAAAAATTCAAACCTGTTGGATGTTGTTTTGCATCAGAAAATAGTTTTTGTTTTTCAACATGTAAAAGTTGTCCGAAAATACGGATCTAAATCATGAATATTCAATTATTGAAAAAACACTGCTGAAGTGAACATGAATTTCAGGGGGAAATTTACACAAAAATTTCAGGGAGATTTTCAATTCTTAATTTTTAAAAATTGACCGGAGAGGAAATAAAACCTGTGAAGGAAAGATTGTTGGTGCATACAAGAACTCACGTTGGAAATCAATAGGCAATTCCAGCTTTTAATTTATGCCCGCAAGGGGGGGGGGGAGTAAGGTATCACATTGCTGATAATGCTGAAAGTGACTTTATGTTAGTTTTCCTTTTTTATTATTTTTCCCCTAGGTACAGATTTTAATAATTACAAACAAATTTCTTTTAATGATATTGGTCAAGAGACCTACTAGAAACCTTTAAGGGTTTTGGAGTTTTTATTGAAAATTTCAGCATAATCAGCAATATGATACCTTAAATTCCCATCCCCCCCTGCAAGCATAAATTAAAAGCTGGAATTGCCTATTCGATTTCTCCAGAGCTATACCCAACCCTAACCTGCGAACGGGCATGCTCTGGGAACGAGATTGCGTGTTGTAAAATGCGGATAATATAG